GGAGGGACCTCTTCAACGATGACAGTGGCCTCTTGAATGGTGGGAGGGGACTCTTGAGGGATGATAGGGGCCTCTTGAACGATAGGGGAGGCTCTTGAACGATGACAGGTGAGTCAGGCTTTTTCTTACGGATTCTTCGCACTATTGGGGTGAACGGAGACGTAATGGCACGTGCACGCCGTCTGATGCGTGAACTCCGTCTTGCAAGAAAAACCCGACGTAGAGCATCCACCTTAGCGGGCCGCTAAAAATAAATTAATACATAAATCAATAAATAAACAGACATGATATTAAACAGTGAGAACAAAGACAAATATATTTCAAACTTGCACGGTATTCACCCAAGTCATTATTATATCATTGTTCACAAAATGCATCAGATAACATTCCAGAAGTAAACACTTATATAAACATTTAAAAGGACAACATATAGGTTTAGTGCAGGTTCAATGACAACATAAAGAGTAGTAGTTTATTCTTGAAACTTAAATTTTCAACACTGTGAAGTTAGTATTTGTCTTTTGGTTGAAGTAATGCAATTCATTCAAGTTTCAATTTGCAGAAGAAGAATAGAATCTGAAACTTAAAATCGCAACGCAAAAATGACTATCGCAATGCGAAAATGACTATCGCAATGCGAATTTGACTATCGCAACGAGAGAATCGCAATGCGAAATGAAAATCGCAACGCGATTATAGTTTCGCGTTGCGATTTTGTCGTTGCGATTTTCATTTCGCGTTGCGAATCTCTCGTTGCGATTCATTTCGCGTTGCGATAGTCATTTTTCACGTTGCGATTTTAAGTTTCGTGTTGCGAAAGTAAACTATTTCTTCTTCTGCAAATTAAAACTTGAATGGATTGCATTACTTCAACCAAAAGACAAAACAAAGACAAATACTAACTTCAGAGTATTAAAGAATACACAGTTTAGCAGAATTGGCAGCAACCGAACAAATTTACTTTCAACCAAAAGACAAAACAAAGACAAATACTAACTTCACAGTGTTAAAGAATACACAGTTTAGCAGAATTGGCAGCAACCGAACAAATTTACTTTCAACCAAAAGACAAAACAAAGACAAATACTAACTTCACAGTGTTAAAGAATACACAGTTTAGCAGAATTGGCAGCAACCGAATAAATTTACTTCAACCAAAAGACAAAACAAAAGACAAATACTAACTTCACAGTGTTAAAGAATAAATAGTTTAGCAGTATTGGCAGCAACCGAATAAATTTACTAAGCAATATAAGTGAAATGGTTAATCTAAGTGAAATTACGAGTAAATTTATCATCAAGTTAAATATGGAAAATCTTAAACTTACCTCGTTGCATAGAGTATGAACCTTATTCTGCAACGATACTACCATCTCACGTAGAGCGACAACCTCACCACGTAAAGTAGACACCTCTATATGCCATGCACCATCGTTATCGCGTAGAGTACCAATCTCCTCACGCAAGGCATTGACCTCATCACGTAACTCCCTTGACTCATCCCGTGGAGGTGGACAACAGGGAGATAGAAGTCGTGGCATCTTTTCCGGTCGCCTATCATGAGGTGATGGTGGAGAAGAGGCTCGATGATGTGACGGGATAGGTGATGGCTCTCGTTGTAGAGGTGTATAGTCGGGTCGATCAGGTGATGGCTCTAGGTGAGGTGATGGCTCTCGAAGTGGAGGCTTCTCATCATTCGTGCCATCAAAAAAACGCTGACTAGCTTGCCACCAATCAGTGGCAAGCTCAGCCTCCGTGGGTGTCAATTTCTGTAACGGAGTGTTGGCCTCCTAAAAATATAAAAACTCAAACAAAGTTAAACGTCTACTATTAATAACTTGTTTATATATGATAGTATTTGTGTTAACTTACATTATTTATTGTCGCATATGGTATTAAGTCTTCCCAATCCAACAGACTTTTCCTCTTCCAGAAATAGCCCTAGGAATATCATTTGAAGTTTTTAATGCATATGTCCGCATGCTGGGGAAAGCCTCGAATATCCAAATCTACAAACAATATAATAACAAACATTAGTAATTGTTAAATAATTAATTATAATTTTGAAAACATTATATAGAAATTATTACCTTAAAGGCCCAAACAAAGCCTGACAAAGTGTATTTCGACCCATCGCCACGCACACTTTTGCGGTCATCAAAGGCAGACGACAACTTAGTCCAGGTAGCTTTCCATATATACGAACCCCACGGAAACAGATTCCATGCATTTAGGTCCTCTACCAATAATATTAGCTCCTGAGGAATAGGTTGTCTGGCCTCTCTGCCTAAAAAGCCGGCATACAAAAGTACTAGAAGGCATACTCGGACAACATCGATGTCATTCATCTGAGTAAAACCATCTTTCTTATTAAACAATTTCTTCAGGTCGTCGACGTGTAAGTTCGGCTTCTCTATTGACTCATCAGGAAAAACCCGGGATAACCATGATGGGCGGGTGATATGACGAGTGTACCGGCCTACATCATCGTGTCCGAATCGTAGACCAGTGATTAAGCAGAACTCCTTCCGCCCAAAACAAGTATACGCCGGTGGAAAATGAAACCATATCTCTTCCTCACCACGTTGTATACTGCCGGGTAGATCGCTAGTCATGGTCTGAAGCCACAAATGGGTCAAATTAGCATCTCCACCCGGATGTTGTACTCTCAGCCATGGCCCGAAGCAGGTTTCCTCAAACAATTTTCTTTGTGCAAGTGAAAGCTTCGAAGCAATTGTAGTGGCTAGGCTAACTTTATTCCTTAATGTCAATGAAGCCGGAAAAAATTTCTACAAAAACAATAAACATACCAAGTTAGATATACCAAAAACTACACTGTGAAGATATACCAAAAACAATAAACATAAAGAGTATTAGTTTATTCTTGAAACTAAAATTTGCAACACTGTTTTGTCTTTTGGTTGAAATGAAAATCGCAACGAGAGAATGACTATCGCAACGCGGAAATGACTATCGCAACGCGAAATGAAAATCGCAAAGAGAGAATCGCAACGCGAAATTAAAATCGCAACGAGAGAATCGCAACGCGAAATGAAAATCGCAATGCGATTTTGGTTTCGCGTTGCGATTTTCATTTCTCTCGTTGCGATAGTCATTTTCGTGTTGCGATTTTCATTTTCATGTTGCGATTTTAAGTTTAGAAACTATTCTTCTTCTGCAAATTGAAACTTTAATGGATTGCATTACTTCAACCAAAAGACAAAACAAAGACAAATACTAACTTCACAGGGTTAAAGACTAAACAGTTTAGCAGCATTGGCAGTAATCGAATGAATTTAATAAGAAATCTAAGTGAAATGGTTAATCTATTATTGAAATTACCAGTAAACTTATCATCAATTTCAATATGAAAAACCTAAAATAATGCAAAAATTTCAAAATAAAAATAATTAAAAAAACTAACCCTCGGAGGTTGATTTTCCATTTCTGAATGATTGTGAGGGATTTCTGACCGTGAATGGTTGTGAGGGATTTCGCCGGAGATGGGGACAGAAATCTTCGGAGATGTGGACGGATTTCGCCGTAGAGAGTGAGAGATGGAGATGGGATTGAGTTGTGATTTTAGGTTTTAGGTTATGAGTTGCGATTACGGGATATACTGTGGATGGTTCAGTGTTCCGATAATTAATATTCGTGTTTGGAATTTGAAAATAAAATACGCGTAGCGATTCTAATGGCGCTTTAAAAATCGCGTTGCGATTTACAGATACGCGTTGCGATTTTACATATTGTCGTTGCGATTTACGGATACACATTGCGATTTACGTATTCTCGTTGCGATTTACAGATACACGTTGCGATCTACGTATTCTCGTTGCGATTTACGGATACGCGTTGCGATTTTACGTATTGTCGTTGCGATTTACGAATACGCGTTGCGATTTTACAAATACTCGTTGCGATAGTCAGAATCGCGTTGCGATTTATATGTTCGCGTTGCGATTTTCATATTCGCGTTGTGATTCTGGAAAATCACAATGCGAATTTGTACTATCGCATTGCGATTATTCATAATCACGTTGCGATTCTGGGAACTGATTTACGATTCTGGAGATCGCGTTGCGATTTTTATTTCGCATTGCAATTTTGTTGGTCATTTTGACAAATCCAAAAAAAATTATTAAAATCATATATTATAAGGCATTTTTGGTCACTGAGACGATTTTCTCTTAAATGATTTGCTCGTTTAAATTAAGTGTCGATTAAATCGGTTTTATTGGTTTTGCAAATTAAGTCTTGAGTAAATCAATCCATTATTAATTATTAAAATTTGATTTAATATACACTTTCCTCTATTTTAAATATATAACATATAATGAATACGACATAAGTAAGTTGTTAATTAATCGAAATAAATTGACTGGTCCAATTAATATTTTTTTTATTCTTTTAAATAAGATATAACACGATGACTTTTCATAAGGTCAGTCATCATAATATTATTCTCACCCAATCACGTCCCAATTAATTTTGAAGGCTGGGTGTTGGCCTAATTCCTATTATTAAAATACATTCATAGATAAAAACAGTCTACGTTAAGTTCCTTTCAAAACCTTCCATAGAATCACGATAATAAACAATATAAAATAAAGGTTCACACTCAAATTTAAACCAACAAATCCCATTTTAACATCCAAAATTTCCAAATTAAACTACTTACCAAGAGGATTAATAACATAATTGCAACTCCAAATAATAAAAAAAATAGCTTTTCCATTCTTATAGTAGAGGAATAAAAAGAAATAAATAGGAGCATTAATTATGCTAACAAAAATTCTCACCTAAAACAGGTAATTGGATGTCATAGACTAGTAGGAAGTAAAATTCTCTGGTGCCTTCCATGGAAATGCAAGACCTTCAAAACTATGGGGACATGATCAACGATTCATCTCCCCTTTCACAAAATATGTTTTACCACCATCACTGTCTCGAAATAGACATCTCCCTCGTTGCCGCTTGCAAGAACCATTCCCGGAATCCTGTAATTTAGACACCTGAACCAGAAGCAACTGATATAGGGTCCTCTGATGAAGCTGGATCGACACTCATACCAGCTGGCATTACAGGTGCCTGCTGGTTGCAACTTGAGGTTTAACTCCATTCGTTACAGCCCCAACTGCAGGGACCTTAGCATCTTTCCAGAAACCCATGCGGTCAAACGGGCTTTGGTTCAATAGTGAAAAAGGAACTGCTGTTGCAACACAACTGGAATAGGTTCATTTATAGCAGTAGAATGCACCGACTTAGATTCTGCTGGTGCTGGGATGCCTGATAACCCGTCATGAGATAGAATGCAAGCTACTGCATACACAGATGCCCCAAGAGCAGGAGGAAGAACTTCACCTGGATGCATTACCTGAAAAAAGTCCAGAAAAATATAAGAACAAGCAAAATGACCATTCTGAGGGCTGAACAAGTTAAAACTGTGTTCTAGTATTAATCATTAAAAAAGGGGAGGTGTATTTTAGCTCTTATGTGTGTAGTCAATGGATGTGCCTACCTTGAATAAAATTGCTTCTGATAACCGTTCTCTCAGGCAGTATATTTGAGCAACATTAAGTGCCGTTGATCTGAACGATAGCCACCGATCAACAACCACCATAACAGAATTATCAGGAGAGGACAGGACTTTTTCTTCTTTCCCCCCAGACTTATTAACCACCAACTTTTCATCCCCATCAGTGTCACATGCATCACCATCGTCACTTTCCTCGTCATCATCATCACTGCAAACATTGCCTTTTATAGGAGCCACTGCAATCTCTGTTGCAAGAAATAACAATGGAAGTGGACCAATAACAGTACAGTTTCTTATGTACATTCCCATATCCCCACAGGTTATTGCATCAAATATAATCAAAGGGCATTCTTCAAGTTGCTTGGGTTTTAACCTTGAATTAACAGAGCGACCACTTAACCGAACATTACAGCCATTGGCAGCCTCTATAGTCGTCAATTCCTTATCCTGTTTTGGTGGGAGCACTCTCCCCACCATTGGATACAAACCAGCCACAAGGACTGCATGTAGTATTCCACGGTGATTTGCATTTAGACTACAGCTTGAGACATCATCAGGAATAAATCCATGCCGTATTAGTTCACCCTGAAGCTGCATACGCATGCCAAACAGAAAATTCATAGTGCTTGATGAAACAAAGTATTGTGAACAAAAATTTCCTTCTAGACCCTTTCTTTTTGCATTCCTCCAGCAGTCAAAAGCAGCTATGAGTGTCAGCTGATCACTTTGCCCACCATACAAAGATGCAAGCTCATGCCTAGCAGCAGTAGCCTTCTGCCTTTCATTTGGTTGCATGGGTATGACAAATGGATCCTTAAAGTCCGAAGCACATGCTAGTGTCAAAGCCGGATCAAGGCAATTCATCAATATTGCAAAGAAAAGCATCTTGCATGTCAAAGGATGAACAGGAAGATAACCAAGCTTCTCTCCAAGTTCAGTCAGTTCTTCATCTTGCGTGAAAGCGCCAATATCTTGAAGGACTCTAACTGCACTATTTACAGCTTCAGAAACAGGAGGGTCCAATGTCTTCAGCAAGAAATCCTCTACTTTGCAATCTGGGTCAAGCAATTTCACCTAACAATGCGAATAAAATCATGCAATAAACTGTTACATCAATGGTATAAGTAAATGAATGTAAAAAAAAAGGAAACGAACAAGGATTATGATGGAAACTTCTTTTTTGGCAGATACCCTCACATATAAAACGTAAGAGAATGAGAAGACATATCACACACAAAGAATATATATATCACCTGTAAACAGAGTTCTTCAATTGGCATCCTCTTAATTTCTGGAACTTGAAATTCGAGCATTGAAGCTGCTCGAAGTTTTGAAAAAAGATGATAACAAATTCCAGGCTGACAACGGCCAGCTCGACCCTCTCTCTGCTTGGAATTTGCTTTGGAGACCCATGAAGATTGAAGGGTTGATACATTATTATATGGATCATAGCTTTTCTCTTTCATTCTACCACTATCTATAACATAGACAACGTCATCAATTGTAATGGAGCTCTCGGCAACATTGGTTGAAAGGACAATTTTGCGGCAGCCCAAAGGTGGACGCTTAAAAACCACCTTTTGATCAGCATAAGGAACCATTGAATGCAGAGGTATTATAATAAATCGGGAGGAATCTTTAAAAAAAGGGTTGGCAATTAATTTCTCTCTCATTCTATTTATATCATCCCACCCAGGAAGGAAAACAAGAATAGCACCTTCATTTGAATCGATACATATCTTTCTTAGTAACTGCACAATAAGAACATTATCAATGATATCTGGATTACCTGAGGCTATATACTTATCAAGTAACTGCTGCCCATCATTAGCTTGGGAACTTTCAATATGTTTTTTTATCATATTGACAGCTTCCTGCTGGTTTTCCTGCACAGCCCAATCCAAAGCACTCTTCCCATCTTTGGAAATAAGATCACAGTCTACACCAAATGAGAGGAGCATGCAAACCTCCTCCACTCTACCCTTTGCAGCAAACAACATTAGTGGAGTTAGCCCGGTCAAAGAATGCTGGTAATTATGAACCTTTGACCCTCCTTCCACAGAAACCAAATCTAGAAGCGGATCAAACTCATCACTTGACCAAGCCAAACTAATAGCTTCATCCAATGCAATCTTATCTTCTTCTGTTAATTCTAGTTCTTCTTCTGTGAATTCTGGGTCTTCTTCTGTTAATTCTTGGTCTTGATCTTGGGCAGTTGCATTTGCTGAAATAAGATGATTAGCATCTGCGAATTTCAAGATAGAAAGCACATCCTCCAAATAGAAACTTTTTACCTGAATTAAGAATACCAAGAAAATTATGATGTGATCCAAACTAAAAATTAAATGACAGACAATAGTTATAGAATTTTACAGGATATGTAAATCCAGGAACACGGATGATTGGGCAACCACCAAAATATTGCGAAAACCGTTCAGAATCAAGAGTAGCACTCATTAGCACCTATTTGTATCATATACCAAATTAGGAAAAACTAATTATTTTTTCCATCAGGATTTTAAAAAATGAAAATGAATATTATTATTGTCAAGGAAATTGGAGGGATACATGAGAAACCTAGAACTAACCAGCCGTAGATGAGGATACGAAGGAAGTATGTCCCTGCAAATTGACAAACAGAAAATTTGTCAAGCATGCAATTCAACTATTAAACTTCCATCTTTTAAGACAACGGGGCCCTAGGGAAAAAATTAATACAAGGGACCCTAAACCATTGAAAGCATCCAAGATGGTACCTAAAGGTCCATACGACAAGATATAAATGTAAAATTGAACAATAGTTTGTTTACAGTCTACCACATTGGATAATTTTCAAGAACTTAGAGAGTCTATAAGACATTATCTCTTGGGATATATCCCCAAGGGGGGACCTAAAATTTTCATAGCTATTGTGCTTGAATACAAGCGGCTATGTGACTTGACTAGTGGTGAGGCCCAGAAAGTACGGATACAACTGCCATACCATATTTATACACCAAATTGCTTAAAAAACATCAAATGAATTATATATCTTAAAGCCTTTAAATTTAGACTCAAATGATAAGAAACTCGATGTTAGTGAAAGCAAGAAAACAAGGTAAAATTCTAAATAACGGAAAATGTACCTCATAATTGCCAACATGAAATCACAGAAGCTGTCCCTTTCATGAGTTTCATCCTGAAATTTTCAGAAAATTAGCAACTACACTTGTAAGCCATAATAAACAGGGGGGGAAATTGCATGCACAAATGAAATTATACGTATAGGTAGCTTTGAAAAATAAATATGGATGATCAGAAATGCACAATTTCCCCAAGAAAATTATGACCCCAAGATCCTCATCAACCCGTATACACCAAATAAAAATATTCCAAGGTTTTGGGACCGAACAAGTTCTTGAAAGGAACTAATTGCTAAATACATCTTTCTTTCTTGGAAGATCCGGTGCATGTCCAGCATCCACCTTATTATTAAATTTTCCTGGTATTGCTGGCTGAGCAATCAATTTTAAAACCGTTCAACCTAGCTTGACAAAATAATAGGCTGGGAGTCAAGACCAAAAAGAAAAGGGAAAATAGCAATGGCTGAGCCGACATGATGCATATCATGATCACTAAAATTTCAAGGAGTAGATGAAAGGTGGGATAATACAATTTTCAAACAAGAGTACATGTGGCCAGCAAAGATCCGACAGCCTTCAAATCATGATTGAAAATCACAGAAAGAACAAAAGGAGAAAACTACAACATAGCATTAGAAATTGAACAAAAGAAGAAAAAATCAAAGATGAGTTCAGCAGCTTCTGAAAATTTTGAGGAAAGAACAGTATTGGGGGGGTGTTCAAAACTTCGGTTGAGTGAAGGTGCTAAATAGACTTGTTAGAGAAAGTTTAGTTTCAAGTCTACAGAACAACACATACTTCTTGTGGTATCACCGTAAGAAATTTTATCATATAGGACGACTTACAATTGAAAAATGCCTCTTTTTCTACTCTTTCTTCAGATTTCCATGAAAATGCAATGGAACCACACGCTTCAAATGGAAAACCCACTAAAAAATCATTCCATCCATTTGCACGGTCTTCTCCACAATAACCACTATGTATTTTTTTCTAGATAAACCCTTGTACCATTAAATACACCAGAAGGGAAACGATTATATTTCCTTCCCATAGAGTGAGAAATAGAAGTCAGTTTTTAGCAAAAATGAACCCGAGAACATTCCAGGATTTCAGCAGGGGCAACTGGTCCCACTACATCCCTATCCTATTAAGTCCATCCTAGCAAAGGATGCAGGTAATATAAGTGGGGAAGCTGGTCCCACTATCCTATATCCCTATCCCAATAGGCATAATCCCTATCAAATGATGTTTGCACTACAAGTTTAAAACAGTTTATTTTAATTTGAAGCAGGAAATGAAACACAATATCGTACAATTTGACAAGTACCTTGACCACATCGATAATAGATGATTATTAAACCTGAGCAGGTTCAAGAAAACTCCTGTGTTTATGTTGATATACATATTTTTTTCCCCATATTCCCAAAATCTAGCTGATTTTTTCCAAAGAAAGGAAAGAAAGATACTTTTCATCATCCGAAAACTGAAATTTAAGAAATTTACAAACAAAACAAGAAGGTAAATACCACAATAATGTGAGTCATGTCAGAGATGTCTTCTCTCTTTGATCTACTGTTTGAAACCAGCACTCTCAATAACATCCCATTTGTGCAGAAGACAATGGATGAGTGTCGACCACCTTTACTTTCCAAGCGAATCTTCATAAAAATTCGTAACTTTTAGTAATGTTGTATACACTTAAAAAATTTCCATCAAAAGCCCAAAAATCTAGCGTTCATTGCAACATTACCTAAATGCAACATTTCAAACTAACCAAGAAAACAATAAACTAACAGATAAATTGGAAAACAAGGATAAATAACAAGGAGCCACACTGGAATACACACACACACACACACACACTTGCATAGCAAGAAAAGCAGATATTCTAGATCGTTAGCATATGATTTTCAGTACTCAAAGAACTCTGGAAGTTTGAACAAATGGTTCCATGCTTTGTAAGACTACCTGTATCATGTTACCTATTCCCATGTAGTTAAAAGGCAGTGAGAAAAAAGCAGCAATTTCTCATAAAACATCATGATTGTATGACTCACATTGCACATGCATGTTTTTAAAAGTTTAGTAGCAGTACCTTGTATCCAACATTATCGCCAATACTTTCTCCTCTTTCATAAGCAATTCTCTCGGACACTAGTAAAAAAAGAAAGCAGCAACCATAAGAAGATTTGCACATTATAAAAGCAGAAAAAATAAGGAAAAATGTATAACAAGGAATACAACAGGCTTCATTTATCCACACCTGATGTAGCTGATATACGCCGAGGCTGAGTACACAGTATTTTACAAGCTTCACCTTTTCCCCACATATAGTCCAAAAGCAATTGTGGAACCTGGACCAGATGCACCAACAATACAAGTCACAAACCCAAAAACAAATGAATCTTGACATTATGTACTTCATGGAGCAGTGAACTATGTGACTGAAGTGTTCACTAATTTCTTGTAGAAACAATAATAAAAGTTAACCAATTACTGATATTATTATTTTAAGAAAATGATCCTTCTACGTTACTTCAGGCTTGATTGCATACATTTGTAATATAAATTTATTTTTCTAAATATATAAATATGCTCTTTTTAGACACGTTTATAAAATTAATTCAATTCATCATCTTTAAGCAGAAGATTCAATTATCTTGGTATTCATGAACTTCTATAGTCAATTGATTGTAAAGCCAGAATAAGACTCTGATCTATTAAAGAAGGTATAATCCTAAGAATTAACATGATCAGTAGCAGACAACTCAAGAAAAGTCTTCATAGATCCCAAGCTACCCGGCTCCCAACTTTCCACAAAGATGTGTAACATAAGACAAAATGCAGTAAATTATCATGCATCACCATTTTATAGAGTTAGGACAAGTGGTCGCCGAAGAAAGTTCACTATTTTCTTATTCATATATCATGCAATCTGCTTATACATTCAAAGTAGTAATTTAGAACATAATTCTGAAAATGAAGTAATTTAACTCCATACAAGAAAACAAGCTAAATCTAAATCATTTTCCAGCTATCAGCTGATGAGAATTTAAAGCTCATCGATTGTTAATCACTTAAGAAATCAGTTAAAGCATCCTCTGAAGTTAGGAAGGGCTGCATTTAGAGCCTTAAAGCTGCTAATTTTAATTTCATACATATCTAAATAAACAAGATTAAAAAGGATTTTATTAGAATTATCAGAGATATAGTTTATTGTGCAACATGTGAGATACATTACTTCTCTGTCTGCACAGACCAATCAAAAGGGGTAAATGACATAAATGGCCAAATGGGTACTTCTAAGACAAATAGAACTTGTTCCTCCAATTGGACTGTGATTGTTCGACAGCTGTATTCAGAGGCGTTTTTTAGTTTGTGGTTGTAATTGTTGGTTTTTGTTTTGCTATGTTATCTTACATCTTGAGGTGTATTTTAGAAATAGGGTTATTGTCTTAGGGGCTTTTTGTTTGAAGATGTAAGATTTTTAGGTGATATGGTCTGTATTGGTTTTTATTCCCCTTTGAGGGTTCGATGTTACCACTTGTACTTGGTCTTCTATTTAATAAAATATGAGGTACTCTTTTCTCCCTTCCAGTGTTCTTCAACATACTTCTAAGTATGTGGAAGAATATGAAGGGAGTTTTTAATGAGACCTCCAACTTCTATCAAAAAAAAATATACCACAAATTTATTTTTTAAAAGAAGGCTAAATTAATACCTGTGTTGTCTTGCCACACCCAGTCTCGCCAGAGATGAGGATAACCTAAAACGGAATTTGGAAGATGCAATAAATATTAAATATGACACATCCTAACCATCCAACTGTCAGTCAAGCGAACAGGAAAATATAGACTTCTCATTGGGACATAACGACCCAATTGCATCGAGACAAAGGTAGAAATAACTTGAGAAGCAATAGAAATAACTCTGCATTATTACTACATTGTGGAATCTGCACACCAAGCAGATACACATCTTAAAAACAAATACATAAAAGACAAAAAGGGACCTGGTTAGATTCTACTGCAGATGTAATGGCATCCCCAAACCCAGCAATTGGAAGCTTTGATCTCTCCTCATTAATCTGCACGCGTGATGTCCAAAAACTTTTACCCAAAAGCTAATTTAGAGAAGCTACAAAACACCCCCTCCCCTTTATGCATAACATAGAGTGAAAAATAAGCAGCATCCAACCAAAGTTTCTAAGCCAACTTGTATAGAAGAACCTGTCTCAGTTTGGGATGCTTTTCTCTCTTAGATGCAAGTTCTTTAACCTTCTCTGCAATCTCCACAGCACTCATCATTGGCTTCGAGAAAATATCATCTTTCTTTCTTCGTATTTTAGCAGTTTTTCCGCTATATTTTCTAATTTCTTTCTCTTCAAGCTCCTCATCATCTGGTGGGTAACTTGAAAATAAGTCCTGCAAAACCAAACTTGCCCTCTTTGAAAATGCGACATCAGTAAGATTCTTCCCTGGCATGTCACCGCCTTTCACTTTGATTTTACGGACAGAGACATGTCTCTGGTTCCCAGAGCTGAAAACAAAACTCAGGTTGTTAAGAAATCACAATGGAATCTCAATGACTAAACAACATAAAAGACAATAAAGAAGTAAGCTTCTATTTCACACAAACAAGGAATACGATAAACAGGTAACATTTTTTAAACTGCAATATTATTAGCATTGGTGATGCATGAAACTAGCAATTAATACTTACCCTTTATTTTTGGATATCAAACCCATTTTCAGGCATTCCTTGTGCACAAATGCTCGCTGTTTTCTTGAAAGGTTGGGTTCAAAGTTATACGCTATACAAAGCATCAAAAACTCAATAAGTTAATACAAAAAAACTTAAACAAAAGAAATATCTTACAAGCTACTGCAACTTTACAAGGAATGTCTAATACATAAGAAGCAAATAGCATTCTTCAATAACTTTCTAGCCATGGCAACCAATCTAATTCACCTAGATATAATATGAACACAGGCAAAGCAAAACGAGGCTGAACTTCTTCAATTGTTGCATTGAAACCAAATTTTCGTAGCTAGCATTAAGTTTCATTATTTACAAAACCCTAAAAATAGTAAAGTTATTTCAGAAGCAACAAAGCACGCCTTGTGATCTCGAAGAACACATTACGAAGAGATGACCATCCAATCATATATACCTTGAAAATAACAAACACACACACACACTCAAAAATTATAGTATTAAGAAACCCTTAAAAAATATATAATTAAAAAAATCCCGCCTTAGCAGTGCAGTTTATGTTCAATATTGGAAATTTGAAGGAGATAAGAAGAAAAAAACCTTTATCTTCTCCTTTGTTAAACTTCTTAAGTATCTTGGTTAATCGGAAAACGGAGGCTTCGTCTAGGGGAGTCTTATTCTTTCCCATTCTTTGGGTTTATCCCTTTTTTTTTTTTTGGTTCTTTTTCCTCTAACAAAATGCAGAGTAAAAATAGGAAGAAAAAACAATGAAAATTCAGAAAGAAAGCAAGAAGGTGAGCAAAAGAGGTGTAGGGAAGAGGCGCCTCTCTTGTATTGCTTGTTTTGTGTTTAGGTTTCACTCCTGCAGTTCAAAAGCCGTGCTTAAATAAGATTTTTTTAGACCGGTTTTAGTCCGCTTCAACTATTATTTTACTAATGAAATATGTAAATATATTTATGATAATACTAAAATATTTGCTATTTTAAAAAAAACAGACATAAGAGGTGTTTACTAATATTAAACTCGTAATCTAATCTAATGTTAATTGAAACCTCATTCTATTTTTTAATTGATCTAATCCACCGAAAAATTTAATTAAATTGTTTTTCTTGTTTTATAATACAAAAGAAAAATTTTGTGTTTTAGTGCAATCAAGAATTCAAAAGCAGTCGTGTTCTCTCTGCCTGAAAATTTTATTGATCCCCGCCAAAAAAAAGTAACGCCGACACGATGAAGAAGAGTCGCCTGATGCCTCGGGCATCTGTCCTTCCTCCTTTGGACCTTTTCTCATGAACTGTGACTTGCGCCCCTCTGATCGTCAACCTTCTGTTTCTTACAAGGATGTTGTTTCTGGAAACACCATTATCCAACCTGATGCCAAAAGCTTTGATCTAGATGATGAAGATATTGAGTTACTCGATGATGACATTGCTATTGGACTCTCAAATGGCCTCACTACTATTGATTTCTCTGATCGTGCTCAGCATCTCGCTATTAAGAGCATGGATCTAACTTTGATTGTGAAAATCCTAGGTCGACAGATTAGCTATGATGCCCTACACAACCGTATATATGGCCTCTAAAAACCCTCTCATCTGATCAAACTGATGGATATAGAGAATGATTTATTTTTAGTCAAGTTTAGCGACAATGACAACTATCTCAAAGTCCTTACTGAAGGACCCTGGAAAATCTTTGGTCACTACTTGACAATGGAAACATGGTTGATTGATTTCCAACCTTTCCAAGCTCATCCTAGTCGACTCATGGCTTGGACTTGATTATCAGGTCTTCCGATCACCTTGTATAAACGGAGTTTCATTAAAGTAATTGATAATCAAATTAGATCGGTTGTCAAAATTAATTATCAAATTGATAATGGCTTTCGGGGTCGATTTGCTCGCATGGCTATCAATATTAATCTTCACAAGCTTCTGGTCTCCAAACTTTTCATCAATGGCTGTATTCAGATAATCGAATATGAATCGCTACCTATGGTTCGTTTTCACTGTGGTCAGTATGGTCATCTCAAAGACATTTGCCTAGAACTTCATACCCAGGAAGAATCGAACTCAAACTGCCAACCCCTACAGCCCCAAGCTCCGACTACTCTGGCACTAAAAGATCCCTTCGGCCCTTGGATGATCGTCAAGCGGAAAAAGTAGAAACCAAAATCTCAACTAGTTGATTCTCGGGTCTCAAAAGGAAAGGAATTGATTTAGCCTCAATCGAATCCTATTTTTGAAAAGTTGCAGCAAGATGAGTTCCCTATTGCACCTATCGTGGAATCTATCTCAATCACCAATGATGCCTCATCAGCAATTACTGCCTCTAATTCTGCTTCCATTATGACTCCACAGACTGCTCCCTCAAATCCTGGCACTAGTTCTGGCAAGAAAAAAAATTTATTAGTAAGGTGGCCTTCACTCCAAAAAATCACCAGCAATTAATATGGGCGTTAAAAATTCTGGTTCCCTAAGTGGCAAACCTGCAATTCCTTTGTTATCCACAAATCGTCTCTCCATGCATGGCTCACGTAGTCAAGTTAATGCTTCTAAGGCTACAGCTCCTAACAAAGTGGTGATTCTCGACCCCTCAAGACATCAGCGTATCTCTATTCCTAATGATTCACACCCGCCCATTAAAGTCGAAGCTATCTGAGGCCCTACATTCATTAAGGGTCCCTCAGATATGCAAGAATGATCCTTAATACTGCATTTTCTCCCATCCGATAGTCTTTCTCATGGATATTAAGATCTTCGTGTGGAACCCTCAAGGATGCTGATATCGCTCCTTTTTTCGCACCTCTCGTGAATATTATAGAGACCACCGTCTGAATATTATGGGTTTTGTGGAACCTCGTAATAGCTCCCATAAGGCTGATAGAGTGATCACGACCCTAGAGTTTTCTCAATCCTTCCGTGTTGAAGCTGATGGTTTCTCAGGCGATATTTGATTATGTTGGACTAATTCGGCCCATATTGAGATTCTCTTCACTCATTTCCAATACATCCATTGTCGAGTTCATTCTATCTACAGAAGAAACTCATCTCTTGTTACTTTTATTTATGCAAGTCCGAAATCTACTAATCGGAAACAGTTATGGAATTATATTGCTTTATTGGGTAGTAACATCCATGAAGTCTTGGTCTGTTTTAGGCGACTTTAATGACACACGCTTCAATGATGATCGTAAGGGTTGCTCCGTCTCTAGCTCTCTCTGGAGCAAGACTTTATAGATGTTTTTGTCGCTAGTTTGCATGACTTAGGTTATCATGGCCCGGACTTCACCTGGTATAGAGGAAACTGTGTTGTCCGCTTAGACTGTGGACTTTGTAACGACCATTGACTAGAAGCTTTTCCTGATTCTACCATCCTCCACTTGCTCCGTATGAAGTCGGACCATCGACCACTTCTCTTCTCCATTTATCCATCGACCTTCTGTCATGTTTGTAATCACTTTCATTATTTATCTGGTTGGACCCAACACGACGTTGAGCGTTTGGTTCGTGAGAATTGGGATAACTCTCTTCACATTCATGAAACTATTGCCAAATTCAATGATACTTCCATCCTTTGGAATTATTTTGTTTTTGGCTCTATCACCAAACGAAAAAAGAGCCTTATGGAAAGGCTTAGAGGTGTTCAACACCGCTTAGATCAAAATCGCTCACCTCATCTTGTCCGTTTGGAGTCACATATTCTATTAGAGCTTGAACAAACGCTTGATCAGGAAGAACTCGCCCCAACTGGATTAATCTTGGTGACTGCAATACTGCTTACTTCCACAAGAAAGCTACTCCGCGTAAACGTGCTAACCGTGTTACATCTCAAGCTCAGTTTGGGCATATGATGTAATGATCAACAAATTTTGAGCGAGGAAGCTTCCTCTTTCTTCTAGTGCCTCTTTGAAGTTGAAGGCTCCTCTCTTAGAAAGGCCCCATTTCCGGGACTCTCTTCTCACGTTGATCATTCAGAAATGGAGGCTCTTGATCACATCTTCAACACCTCCAAAATCCAAGATGCTCTCTTTTCATGTCTCCACTCAAGTCTCCTGGCCCCAATGGTCTCCACACTCACTTTTTCCCAAAATTAGTGGCATATTGTTGGTGATTCAATTTGCAAGATGACACATAAGAGTTTTCAGAATCAATCTATTGATCCTCATCTTAATGCAACTTCCCTGGTTCTTATTCCAAAGGGTTCGAGTCCTTCAAGCTTTAAAGATTTTCGGCCTATCAGCCTGTGTTATGTTCTTTATAAATTGGTAACCAAGATTCTTGTACGGTGAGTAAAACCAATTATGTCGAGCCTTATTTCCCCTAATCAAATGAGTTTCCTCTCTGGCAGGAATATATCTAAAAACATTGTTATCAACCAAGAGATCATTCACTCCTTGAAATAAAAAAAAAAAAAAGAGTAGTTGGATGGTTCTTAAAATCGACCTCGAGAAAGCTTTTGATTGTTTGTAGTGGGACTTCATAATTGACTATCTCTATGAGGCCAAATTTCCGCCTCTATTTACCAGGTTGATTCACAATTGCATTTATTCATCAACTTTGCAAGTCCAATTTAATGACACTCTTGGTCGACCTTTTAATCCTTCAAGGGGAATACGTCAAGGGGACCCCATCTTCCTTTATCTTCTTGTTCTAACTATGGATAGACTTGGCCCTTTCATTTCTTCAGCGATTGAAAGAGGATCTTGGAAGCCATTTCAACTTGCTAGAGGTGGCACCCTCATTTCGCATCTTTTTTTTACCGACGACTTAATTTTGTACGCAAGAGCAAGCCTTGATCAAGCCATTCTAATCAATTCAATCTTATTCGAATTTGGAAAATTTTTTGGGAATAATGTCAATAAACTCAAGTCACAAGTTTTCTTCTCTTCTGATATGCATGAAGATATAGTCGAAGCCATCAGTAAACATCTCGGCTTCCACAGAGTCAAGGATCTCGATACCTACTTAGGAGTTCCTGTTATGCACAAGAGAGCCTCCACCGAATTCTTCAATTTCATATTGGAAAAAATCTGATGGAGACTTTATGGTTGGGCCAATCGAACATTATCCTTTTTTGGAAGAGTAAGTCTTGCAAACTCAGTATTGACTGCCACGTATTTCATACAAACTTCCTGACTACTAGCTCATATATGTGACGTAATCAAAAGCTTAATTAGGCGATTTACATGGGGTAATTCCAGCCAATCCAACGGCATACTACTAGTCAACTGGCCCACTGTTGCGTAACCTCGTGACCATGGTGGATTAGGGATTCGCTCCGTAAAGAACCACAATACTGTTTCTCTCATGAAAGTTTGCTATAACCTCGTTAACAATTCTGATGCTTACTGGATCTGTCTTTCGCCAAAAGTATAGAGTGGTTGTTTGTTATAACCTCGTTAACAATGTTGATGCTTACTGGATCTCTCTCCTTCGCCAAAAGTATAGAATGGTTGATCAGTGCCCTTCCTTCCTTGACAGGCCGAATTGCTCCCATCTTTGGAGAGCACTATTTAATTTCTGGCAAATGTTTTATAGTTTATTGTCCTGGTCTATTGGGGATGGAGCCACTGCTCGCTTTTGGCACAAAAATTGGGTGCCAAACTTGGGACCTTTAATTTCTCACAAATCTCATAATGATATGTTAATGATAATTTTATCATTTGTGAAGCTATATCCAATTATGGTCACTGGAACTAGAACCTCCTGAATAACCTCTTGCACTCATTGGCTTTTTTTCACATTCTCAATATCCCTCCCCCAGCTTCGACCTTGGGACACGATCGTTTGTGTTGGATTGATGGACATATTGAAACTTCCTCTGCGAAAAAGGCTTATCACCGAATCTCTAGCTCTAACTAGGACCCCAA